GCGTAAGAATGATTTTTGCTGATAAATACGCGCGCGTTTTATTTCTTTCACTTCGCGCATTATTGGCGAATATCAATATCAACGAGTTAGTAAAATTCATTATACAAGTAAAATGCGAAATGTGCATGCACGTAATATGCCGTCAATCTCGCGGTAAGGAATCAAAGTTGTGGCTAACGGCGCGTGTGTGTGTGTGTGTGTGTTTTTCCTTGCAGTGAATTTAATCGAACTTTGAATTTCAGATCCGTATATATATACCGAAACTTTTTATTCTCGCAAACAAATACAACATACAAGAAGAGGGAGAAGAAGAAACTCACGATTGTGTTCGCATAATCGGTATATCCGTCTAAACGTATAGCGTTGTTCGCGCGAGCTTGGATAAATAATCTGAAGATTAGATAATCCAAAACAATCTAATCACAGCTTATCGATAACGTTCGCGAGCGTGTACGATAACAGTACTCCGATGGTCGTACATATTTTTGTGTCGATAAAAGTAATGTTTTTTTTTAATGAACTCGACTTCTTTTGTTTTTTAATGTAATTTCTATCTGTAAAAAACTTTGTGTGTGAAATATATATATATATATATATATGCATTTAACATTTATATATAATAATCTTTACCTTCAATTCGTCGCGCGATTCGTCCCCGATATCATCGGGAATGACTGATCACAAACTTGAAATACGCGCCATACGAGGGTGGCGTTTATCTTATTTTTTTTTCAAGAGGATTTAATTATTGACACATACTGTGTATTTATTTCCGCAATCTTCGCTCTCGACCCGAATTTCGCCGGCCTTCTGTGTGTATTTGCGGTGTCGTAACCATTATCGCAAAGTGAATGGTATAATCGCTCATTACCGAGGCGTAAAAACAGTGATCTATTTACGCGCCCTGCTATGTTATTAATATTTATTTACGAGATAACACCGTTCCGAGGTTTGCGAACAAACTTGACAGACTAATGTCACCGTTTAACGAATTAACGATTGTAACAGCGGGTATTTTGAGAGACCGATCGATTTAATATTAAAATCGTGTTAAATATAATCCTACGTGTGTGTGTGTGTGTGTGTGTGTGTGTGTGTGAAAGACGAGACGCACATTTAATTCAACAAAAATATTTTTATTTATAACAGCGCTTGATATAAAGTATCGCAATTAATAAAGTATCGACGATTGCGCAACAATCATATCGGAAACGATCGAATTAAGATCTTCGACTACCGATACGTACCGCGAAAAAAACGTCATCTAATTCAAACTCATCAACATAATCGATGTGTAAAGTGTAGTTTGCGTTTCGATTGGAAATATACCGCGCGCGCGTTTGATTATATCGCGGCGAAAGAAAAGAAAAGACAAGATCCGATTCAATTATTTGCATATAAAAACATATTTCGTCGTGAAAATTGTCACACATAACGCATTAACAGTTTAAGCGACGTAATTATGACATAACAAGGAGCGAGATATGATGCAACACAGAACATAGTAAACTTGTTACACGCGCAAACAATTTTCTTCCGTCTTACTAAAAAAAAAAAAAAAAACAAAGAGAAACATGTCTCTCGGCGTTATTTATATCAACCGAGGGAGAGCGCATAATATTATGCATTACGTCGTAAAGCACATCGCGCACGACTATTTTCTCGTTAAACAAAAGATTCACACCACCATCGGGACAATTGTGCGTCACCGAGCACAAGTAAGTAAAGTAACCCTTTTTTAAAGAGAGTGTTCTCCGCATTTGCGGAAGTTCCGCTCCCGCGGTTTTCCGACGGCGGTACGCATCGCGTTTTTGCGAATACACGATACAGGGTGCGCGATACGTCATTTCGTCGCGAGCGAGAAGAACCCATTGTCCGTCTATTGTTGCAGGGAAAACAGTATCCGAGCAATTTCGACCGATTGACCGATCAATTTCCCCACTTCGCGTTTCAACGGATAAGATGGGGAAAAAAAAAAGACTTCTCTCGACACAATTTGTTTTACACACGCATCAAGAAAACGGTGTGACGTTTTTGATGTTTGGCCGGTGCAGTTCCGGAAAATCGAGCGAAGGTTATTGCGAAATGAGAATTATATATATATATATATATATATATCGGATACGTTTATATTAGATTTCTGCTAAAAAAAAAATCATACGTATATATACTTAAAGGTGGAATTACGTTCGGGCCTAAAGTATAGCCTACTGTCCGCTACCGAGGCAATCTTTCGGATATATAGGAGAAGGGTGATCCTTTCGGTGTCCCGCAAAATTACAGCACCAGATGGACGTGAAGATAATGACGTGTCCTACATTACTAGCCTCTCGTTTCCTACACTCTCTCTCTCTCTGTCTCTCGTGCGGATGAGCAACGCGCAATCCGCGTCGCCATCCATCAAGTTTAGATCAAGTCGGGTGTACAAGTCCGATAAGAAGAGAGTGTTCGTAAATAATGTGACGTCACACATGGGAAAAATGTGAAAAACGCGTTCCCGGAACAAAGAAGAGACATTCGTCGTCGTGACCGCACCACGAGACGATGGTCTTCTCTCTCTTCTTCCGCGACGACCGTTCGCCGCTGCGCTTTCTCGCATCGGCGTCCGCGCGTGCTCGGGTGTTTTCGCTTATCCCGCATTGAACTTCTTCTGTGCCGCTGCTTCATTCGCGACTCCGTGAAAATTTTTCACGATACACAGCATTTTTGATCTCCCCGATCGGGCAAATGTCGCCACGCAATCAACGGCCGCTTCTTCCTCTTCTTCTTCTTCTTTATCTGGTTTATTTTCCTACACGTAATAAAAAAAAACATCTCGGAACGTCAGCGGTTCTAATTATTGCCGCTTATTGGTCTACAACAATCTTATACACGGGAATCAACTGCGAGACAAATTGCAGCCGGGTTTTATAAGGCGCGCAATCTTGTCGCTTGTTTCTTCGCAAAACGTGTTTTGTTCCTGTTCATCATCTCTCATTCAAACCTAAGATTGTAGGTTGACTCTATTGGAAAAGCGTATATATATATATAGTTTGATAAAAACAGAATGTGTTTATATTTTCATAATAATAAAATATCTAATAAAATATCCGTCTCCTCGAGACAGACACCGGATAGATCCACTTCTATCATCGCCAGCATGTGTGCGCGCGCGCGCGTCAACAAAGTGAATGCGAATTTTCCTCGTTTGTAATCGCTTGCGCGCGATGTTATCAGCGACACATTTCATTCAAATATCGGCCTTACGTAATCCACTTGTTCAACCTTCACTTAACAAGCATGGGGATTGTGTTATCACACTCGAGAAACTTGTCCCGCGTGAAATTTCTCAACTTTCAGTCATGGCGAAGATTTCCCGGCTCTTGTGCGCGGTCTCTCGTATATATATGTATAAGCCGCGCAAGTCACGTTTTCTGCGCCTACTTTCTGACTATTCTCGGGGGATCGAGTCCATAACAGGATAAACTTAACCTATCTCTCTCTCTTTATATATATATATATTTGTTTATGTCCTTGTTATTTCTCACAGATCGGTCATTTTGTCTCACACGTCCCTCAGGAAACCGTCAGAACTTTCGAATGTTCATTGACAGTTCTCTTCCGCTTTTCGCACTTATTTTGCTCAAGTTATACCTCCTTTTCCAGAAGATTCCAGAAGAAACCCGAGTTTCGTTTTAAGAATGAATGCGGGTCATTGCAAGATTCAAAAGGGAAACTATTTAGGCGCTAAACCGGACAGTCGGTTTTTCTCACGACATCGCGTTTATACGTATAGACCGGAGTTTATATAGGTTAGGGTTTGAATAAATCGGCTCGCGCAGCTGTTGAACGGCTCGTTTTGTTGATACCACACTGATAGAGGCGTTTTATAAACAAAGTTGCATCAACAATGTCTCGATAAATACTTAATAATGAGAAGTGCACTTTTTCATGTGGAAAAACATTGACGCGCTCTTTCCCATACCGTGTGTGTGCTCGCAGATCGGAACGTCTCTCCGTTCAAGACCCGGAACGTCTCTCCGTTCAAACTTCAAGTTGTCGGTGCGATGGGATGTAAAACTGAATTTACTACTTACACGCGATTTGAAAGACCGAGCAGCATATAAGGTCGATTAATACGTATATCGTTTTTTACCAGTTTGTTTTTGAGACATAGCGTGACAGAAGTACCGAAATATCGGTGATACCGTAAAAAAAATTGGGTTTCGGAGCATCAACGGTAGAACCGTCGAAGTTGCGTGCTCGCGCCACTTTCATAATAACAAAAAAAGAGTTAACAAACAAAGTAATCTTTATCTTTTATTACTTAATATCATATGTTTGCTATCGCTACTAAACGACGGAGAAAGTACATCTACAGATGTCTTCGCACAATAATACAACATCATTGCGATCTCGTCTCGATGCACAGTGAGAAAATAATCATCGGCGAATCGCATGATCACGCCATGGGTATCAGAGTCATGGGTAAAACAATCTCAATTACCTATTTTTTTTTTTTTTATACGCGACAGTTGGCCCGTATCCTTAGTCGTTTTACTTCGCGTATAAGTTTGACGTAAAAAACATCCAATAAGATGCGGGACTCGCGTTTCGAAACACCAACCAACGTCGCGCGTCAGGACGCATCCCTCGTTCTCTAATCGAGTTCTCAAATCGTCTTGGCGGAAAATCGATAGGAGCGTTAATACATGTGTTCTTCTTTGGAAATAAAATATCCAAATTGAAAGCCGCGCGATGTAATTATTGGGTTCAGGAGTCACACGCAAGTTACCGTCTGAAAAAAATCAACCAACCGTATCAAGACAATCTACAATTCATTATTTGTATGTGGTGTACACTCTCTTACATGCGCTACAGTATCTTAAAGTATACAAACTGACTTCAAACTCGTATATATACACACAATCGGAACTTGCTCGAACATTCGGCACACACACACACACACACACACACACACTCGTTTCACACTCGGCATGCATTTTCTGTCGGAAAATTACCTGCGATTAAGCAGAACTCCACTGTGACGACTAGTCAAACGCGTCCGACAGACAGCGTTTCGTCATCTCGCGCGACGAAGAGAGAAGTTCTGTTTAGTATCCAACTTGTAGACACATCACCGGAAATGTCGCAGACGTTTCTCCGACGTTTCCTTATTCCGGCGCTATCACTTTTTACGACGATATCACTTCCGAGTTCACCCCACCCGATGAACAAACGCGCGGATCAATCGAACGGGGACTGTACGCGCGACTGTCGATTCTAGAAGAGGCAAACGAAACGATCGCCGTCTTCTCTACGCGGAGAAGCGCGAAGTAATCTTCAGCAAGAGCTACATCTCGCAATAACCACGCTCGCGTGAAAGAACCGCCTTTTGCGTGACGATTTACGTGACTTCAACCTGACGACTTTGCATCTCTTCACTCGACGACGATGCAAAAATTATATCGCTCTCATATCGGTCGAAAATTCTGCTCCGCGCAAACAACAGAGCTCCGTTTCTCCGGCGCTGTCAGTCGATCGCCGTCGCCGCTTCTGGCATATCTCCCTTTAATATAGGCGCTGCGCCGGCCGGGCGTTACAACTTAAAGTTGCGCTTCGCTAAGGCGGAGCTTCCGCGCAAAAATGTTCAGAAAAAGCGATAACACGAATAGCACAATCGCAATATAATGACAGTTTCACTCTGCTGCAAAAGTAACCGGAGCGGTCGAACAACAGTTTCTTCAACACAACACAGTCTGATCATTCAGATTCGCGAAAAAGCTGATTTCGGACAATCCATCGGCAACTACGACCAGCGCGTCCGATAAATGCTCCGTAAAACAGAACGGAACGAGTGGTTCGAATGGTTAACCGAAGGTGCGGAATTGCACTTCCGGTGGGTCGAGATCGCACGCAATGATACAAAGCAGCGTAAACGTCTACACCGCTGAACGACCGAATTGCGACTGTGGACGATGGGTTTAGACGTTCATGGTCCCGCCGTCGACGTTGGGGTGGGGCGATTACGCACCGCCCCGTCTGCGAAGTCACGCCCGTCGACTGTGCTCTCACCGCCTCCGCAGAGGACGGTCGAGCCACCTTTTTCCGCGGACTCACTCACTACCTTTGATTGCGACGTATTATACAGCAAAGGCAAATCGAAATTTCATTGGCGTAATTAATTGTACGAAAATTTCTCTGTCAACAAGAACGAGAGGTCAGCGACGTTGCTGATAATTTGCACCGTTTTTTGCGAAAACTTTTATCTTCGCGATTGATCATAAATGATTTTCTTAGACGCACAAGGCTACTTTCCGATTGACACACACACACAAATAGTTGATGCAAATAAATATAAAAAATCATTAAGATTGTGATAATTGAATACATAGGTTACTAGATTTATCCTGTCATATTGATCCGCAATATCTAAAGGTCTTACGCAATGTTTCAATAAAAAACGCGAAGAAGTTTCATTAGTTTTATTGTAATATCTGTAATTATAATATCAAAAATGTTACTAAAATATTTAGTATATTGCTTTATGACATATTTCATTATTTGACACGTACATCTTGTATTTATTAATCAAGTCTTCTTTTATTATCACTTATGTGTTTATACATCGATTTGCATTCATAAAACAAAATAGATCCGTTTTGAAATATGTATGAAATTGTGAATATTTTGAAATGTGTATGAAATATGTATGACAGTATTTCTCTTAATTTTCATGTGTATGTAACTGATGACTATCAACATAAGTGTTAATAAAACAGATTGATAGAATTATTTCAATATTCTCTTAAGATTTCACAATAAAAAAATATTAAAGATTATTTGTCACATTTAAAAACTCATTAAAAAAAATCATCTTATTAGAGAAACGAGTTCACTTTAAATAAATATTCTCTTATATATTTTATAATAATTAATCAAATTAATCGATTAACTTTAAAGTATTTTCACTCGTAAATACTTTCACTCTTTTATCTTAATGTGTGTGTTTTGTCTGAATATATTTTTATACTAAGAGCAAAACTGAATATATTTTATATATATAGAGTGTTATGTTTGTAGAATTTATATATTTACTTTTCTTATATTTTCTTTCTTTTTATATTTATTTCCTTTTAATATTGTATGTGTAATAATTTTGTAAAAATGTAATTTCTGCGTGTATCACCATCGTATTGTAACTTATTTCTATCTATATTGTGCAGTAAATTTTATATAAAATAATAAAAAATTAAAAAGCCGAATGTGAGCTCAACTTATCTTTCGTTTTAGTTTTTAAAATTGTTATCTATTATATAAAAAAACTATCAAAGCCGATAATTATTATTGCTATAATATTTACGAGCGACACAATGCGGCTCAATCTGATCTGTCTAATCTAAAATCATATATTGCAAAACCGATTCTATACGATCCATTCTGTTAATTAATCCTCATTTCCAGTTAGATGGCCACTTTTGGCAACGGTCAAATTTACACCAAGTTGCAACAGGCCCAGAAATCTTCTCGCGTTTACGCGCGTAAAGAACGACATCGAAGGAACGATCATCCGATTACGCGGATGTCGCGTGCGCGTCAGCATGGCGCCTTCCCGCAAGAGCGAAGGCGGTCCCCGTAGATCGTAAGCTCCGCCTGCCGACGACTTCCCACTACTCGCGCGCCACGCCTCAATAACAAGGGCGATCTGCACGCTTTTTCCATGCACGTCGGCACACAAACGTGTCGCTCCGCCTAGCGCGAGCGTGCGATCAAACGCCATGACGCGTGCGCCGCCACCCGCGGGACTGTATGACGCGCGTTCGAATTACTGCCGCCATACTTTTCGCTATGGAAAGCACGGCTCGAGACGCGGTCGCGGCGGCTGGCCACGCCAACGATGCCGACTCTTCTCTCGTTCTATTCTTCATCGTTTTCCGCGCGATCACTAGCTAGACTGCCACAACGCCGATCATGAGTATCGAAATCAATGGCAAGCGATTCTTGCCAGCACTCGAATCCCATACAATAATATAACATATATACCTTACATATATACCTTATTCTTAGAAAAATTCTTCCAAACATCTTGTGATATTCCAATTTCAAGATAATATTTGAACAGGCAATCAAAATATTACAGACGTAATGGAATATTGAAATCTTTTAATTTATTAAGAAAATTGATATAAGTTATTTCTATTCTGTTTGCATTTTACACATTGATGCGTGAAAATAATAATCCACAAAATAAATGTCCTAATGTTTGAAATTTTTCAGATACAATTCGATTTTTGTGTTAAATTTAATATAAGAGATTTAATATCGATTCAATCACAAATAGTATCATATTATCAATACTTATTAGTAGCTTCAATTAATATAGAAAAGTTTTGTTTTTCATTTCCAGTCTCGAAACATTGCTAACTAAGCTTTCCATATCCGCTTTACTCTATTTATCTTATCAACTTAATTTTTAATTGTCAATATATAAAACAATTTGCAGCAAAAATCCTTAAATCTTGTTTTACGAATACACTAATGTGTGTTTGACTTCTACTAACGAGACAAGTAAACTATAAGTTTAAATAGTAAATATTACTTTTGCAATTATATACAAAGCAAGTAATCTGCCATAACAGTATTATATATACGTATATAAAATAGATTTCTTTTTTTTTCATTGATGCCTCATACACATATATTCTTTAGAAACAGTTTTACTTTTTTTATGAAATTTCTATAATAGAAAAATTTTTAAATTGATAAAATTTTATCCAAAATATTTATTAATTATATTTTTTAAATCATAAAAAATGTGCTATTTTATCACATGATAATTATACAAAAAAAATTTCACTTGCCGAAACCCGGGATTGAACCGGGGACATTTAGATCTTCAGTCTAACGCTCTCCCAACTGAGCTATTTCGGCGCACGGATGCTTCTTCGATCTTTAAGTCTTTCAATGTAGTAATCGTCGTGATATATATATATATGTTCAATAATATGAGATAGTAATTATACACATATATATGTATGAATACGTATATATAAATATACAATTATTCGCTTACTTCTGCAAGTGAATTGAATCGTGTACTACTATGTAGTAGTTTGCATGTGTGATTGTGTAGGAATCATGTACCGTTGGAGTGGAGAGAAGGAAACTGTAACCTGTGACTGACAACGTTTTTTGCTTCTGCCCACTTTTTGTTACTGAAAGTTCAGTTCATCTTTGCTTTGGTAAAAATTATATAAAATTTTATCGAAGAAATAACAATGTATACTTATTAGAATTTTCTAAATATTTTTTTTGCATATTTTAGTTGTACAAGTTCAAGGTAAAAATGCGGCAAGCGATGATAAACTGTAATCAAGTGCAGACTGAGGTCATAACTGAAGGCCGTTGGATAGAAGAGGATCCACAACCTCATTCTAGCAAGCATATTGTGCTTGTCATTCCCGGAAATCCGGGTGTACCGTTATTCTATGAGCGCTTTGTCAAAACGCTCAAGACAAGGTTAACCCTGGACACACCTGTGTGGGTAATTGGACATGCTGGACATGTTCAACCACCAGAGAATTTGGATATCGCTATGCCTAGTAACAAGAAGTGGGCAGAGTGTTATGGTCTGTCGGCACAACTTCAACACAAGGTATTTATATATATAGAGTAATATCCTCAATTATTTTCTGTTTTTACTTTAGAATTTTTTTTATATCATAGCATAGCTTAATAATCTGTTTTGCAGGTAGAATTCATAAAAAAGTACATACCAGAAGATGCACAGTTACATCTTATCGGACATTCCATAGGCGCCTGGTTTGTACTCAATTTGTTAAAGAATAATGACATTAACAAAAGGATAAAAAGGTGTTATTTATTATTTCCTACAATAGAATATATGGCAGAGACTCGCAATGGAATCTTTTTCTGTACTATTGTAAGTTTTTGCATTTTGTATTTTGATATATTTGTTATATATAATATATGTGCATGTATGTTATACATATATATACATATGTATATGTATATACATATGTATGTACATATATGTATAATGTATATGTTATATAACAATGTATGTTATATATATATATATGTATAACATATATGTGTATGTGAAAGATTCTAAATATTACTAAATATTGTTTTTTTTTCAGCTATCACGAATTGCATCACTGCTGGTCTTCTTATCTTGGATTTTCACAGCAATATTTCCATTGTTTGTACAAACTTTAAGTATACGCATTTTTGGTATGTTTTGGGGTATTCCAGCCAGATCTGTAACGGCAGTTCTGCAAATGCTAAATCCAAAGGTTTTAGAAAGAATTTTTAATCTTGGCAAAGAAGAGATGAAATATGTTAGAGAAGCCGATCATGAGACTATATCAAAATATGCTGACAAATTATGGTTGTATTATGGCACTAACGATAATTGGGCTCCCAAGAAATATTACAGAAATATAATATCCAAGCATTCCAATCTGAATGCTCATTTATGTCAGCGTGGTTTTCAACACGCCTTTGTATTGAGAGATGATGATGTTGAAATAGGGCACATTGTTGGAGATCTCATCAATGAAGATTCCAAATAAATAATAATAATAATGTTACACATCTTAGGTAAAATAATACGTTCGGGGATATATTTGTATACTTATATTTATATAATTTTATAATACTTTATTGTTCTTATACTTTGTTTTATATGAGTTTTGTTCTTATATATATATAATTGTTACGGAGACACAGAATCATAAATAATATTCTCTAATTTGTGTAAAATGGCAAAGGGACATATTTATACTTGGTTAATTTGGTGTTGTGATGAACTACTACTAGACCATAAATATCTGATCGTCAATATTTTATGTTTATATGTTATATGTTAGGTTTGGTGCACATATTATGTTATATGTTATACACATAGAAAGTACATTTCTAGTAAAACGATGTTGACGCAACGTTATTATTATTGATCTTAATTTTTTACCACAAATCAAACTGTCCTAATAATTTATTACGAACGGTGACTATTGTCAGAGAAAAATTACTGCTTCTCTATACTATGGGAGCTTTCCAGCTACGTAAACAGGCGACACTGTTCAACACAGTGTCCACTAGTACGAGTGAGACACACTGATATGCTCTTTCTCACACTAATAGACATCGTGTTACACAGTCGCCTGTGTACGTAGCTGGAAAGCTCCCTATTACTATCTGTATTCATCGTAATATCCTGTTACTCTTGATGATCTTGTTACAGTGTCTTTCTTTTTTGTATTTGGCGCTGTTTGCGACATTACTAAGGCCTGTTCTACAATACAGTCGTAAGCTGTAAGTCGTAAGAAATTGACCAATCACAGACAAATCACAGAAAAATAATCGATTGTGATTGGTCAATTTTTTACGACTTACAGCTTACGACAGTATTGTAGAACAGGCCTAAGACCAATCACAATTGATTATTCCTCTGTAATTGATCTGTGATTGGTCAATTTCTTACGACTTATGACTGTATTGTAGAACAGGCCTAAAGGTTGATTTAAGGGCCGTCTACAATGGAGAGTTGTAGGCCGTAATAGTAAGAAATTGACCAATCACAGACAAAGTACAGAAGAATAATCGATTGTGATTGGTCTTAGGCCTGTTCTACAATACTGTCGTAAGCTGTAAGTCGTAAAAAATTGACCAATCACAATCGATTATTTTTCTGTGATTTGTCTGTGATTGGTCAATTTCTTACGACTTACAGCTTACGACAGGCCTAAAGCCTGTTCTACAATACAGTCGTAAGTCGTAAGAAATTGACCAATCACAATTGATTGGGATGGAACCACACATCGTACTATAGCTACACTACTGCGCGCTCAGCTTAAACCAACGCGCATGCGCGAGTGCGGGCCACTTCTGGCAGCACTGCTCACAGCATCACCAGTCGCTTGCTACCACTTTGAGTACTTAGCTAGCAGGTTGTTGTTCACCTTGGGTAATATCATTGCTCTTTCGGGTATAAATTCTTGGAGATATTCGAATTTGCTCTTACTTTGTGGTTCAACGAGAAGCAGCGCTCTTCGATTTGCGGTAACTGCACAACGAAACACATAAAAATGCCGCGATTCGAACAAACATTTGTATTGATCTGTTTGCTCTCAGGATTTGTTTATGTTTCGGGTAAGAAAATCAAAAATCGCTTAGTCAACAGAAAACAATTGAATGTACAGAAATATATATGTATTTGTATGTGCGTGAGTGATGTTTGTATATGTGTACATATACGTGTGTGTGCATATATGTATCATATAACAAAGAATTTATTCTTATAACTGAATGTCTTGTGCAAATTTTTTCTAACTACGCATTCTTTATAAAAAAAAATAAAAAACAAATAGAGGGAAAAGCAAACATTTTAGAAGCTTAAGATAAAACAACAGAAAGATTTAAAAGTATATTAAGTAAAATGGCCTATTAAACGAGATAAATAAATATTTTGAACGTTTCAATAAATGAAAGACTGAATATTTTACACATTTATTCGTTATAATCTTTAGAAGACTCGTATGTTTCCCAACAGACTTAGCATACTCTATAATACGTGTAGATTACATATGTATGTGTATGCGTAAATTTTCTGTGAAAAAAGTTTAAGATTTCAATGGAAGAATACCGGTCCTCTACTAGTTAAAAGCATACAATTATTTTGTTCGATGGGCGATGTCTTTCCGCGTATTATTTTTTAGATTGATAAATAAACGAGTGCTTTATTATTAATTTACCATTAACCCATATTATTATTAATATATTTATGAAAGACTTGCGCTTACTGGAAAATATATTTTTTTTATGCCTATAATTCTTAAGATATAAAGCAAATAATTTTTAATCGAACATGCTTTTTGAGTCGTGTTTTGTGAAATCAAAATAAAAAAACTAGTTTTTTAAAAATAAAAAAACTAGTTTTTTTATTTTTGAGTTGTTTTGTGAAATCAAAATAAAACTAGTTTTGTCTATAAACAATTGGTCTTATTTGCGGTTTTTTTTTTTAAATAAATTCAAGTCAAGACATTAAAAGTATATATGTTTAAAAATGTACATTTTATCTAAGAAATGTAGAAAGAGATGATTTTTGTGAGAATATCTCGGATTGCAGATGACTATGTACCAACGTGAGCGCTTTTTCTTCCGAGAAGTATGCGTCATTTTAGTGATACAATCTAATCTCATGCTTATAGAATACAGTATAACACACAGCATAAGGTTCTAGAGTTGTAACTGTTTATACAGTAAAATTATAAACCATGCATTCTTCAGTCTTTGCGTTCTTTGAATTATTCAGAATAAAACAATTAAGGTTTAAGCCACTTTTGAGGTCCTTAAAATGATACGTAAGGTTGGAAACTTTTTGTGGTAAATAAATAACTATTAAAAATCCTGCTTATATAGAAGGCTTTATTACACATATGTACAAAACAAACTAAAGAAATGTTTAAAAAATTGTTTTTTTTTGTCAAAGTGACGCGACGCACTGACTCATACACTCGCGGAATCGTTCCTTTCTGCAGCTTCAAATCGGTGTACAAGATTCTAGGCACACGTTTTGATCTTGAACAAAACACAAATTGTTCATTATCAAAGACTAGATACGTAGTACGTAGGAATTTGTCAAAATAATGATTTTTTACAAAATGGCAGGTTATTTTTACAAAAGAGCTGCATTTTTGATCTAAGATTTACGTATAAAAATGTCGCAAAGAGAGTTTTCAATATTTTGAAAAATCCCGTGTGCCTAGAATCTTGTACACGGATTTGAAACTGCAGAAAAAAGATTCCGCAAGTACGCCGCCATTTTAAACATAAGAAAGCTTTAAAAAATATTTTCTTATTATAGTTTGTTATATATGTACAATAAAGCTCTCTAAGCAGATGTTAAATACAGTTATTTATTTACTCACAAAAATTTTTGTGAATACATTTATATACATATATATATATATGTCATAAAATATTCACTCTTTCATTTATTGGAAGGTTCAAAATATTTATTTATCTTGTTTAATAAGTCATTTTATTTTAATATATTTTTAATCTTTCCGTTTTTATCTTAAGCTTCTAAAATGTATATATATATATATCGCAATATATAACAAAAATCAAATAACATGAAATATTCAGTAAAGTTGACGTTATGTTTTCTTTTTAATAGAGATTTTATATTCGTGTGAAAAATAACGCTGTGTACTAGCTACTATAATTTATCTCAAAATATTATTTTAATTGTAATTCGTACTTAAAAATCAGTATCTCTAAAAATTTTCAAGTTTGTCTATTCTTTGTAGGAATGGATTGTTCTTTTGGATCTAGTTCCAACTTTATAGAAAAGACACTGAAGTCATGTCCAGGAATTCTTGATTCGTCTGACGAAAGCTACTGTTGCTACGATTGGAACCAACATTATCGCTGTTGTACCTTGGAGGACTTTGGCAAAAACGCGTAAACTTTTATAATATACACATATTTTTATAACATACTTATAATATTTAAATAATAACATTTAAATGTTAAAAAAATATGATAAATAATGAAATTGCATGAAAATAAAACGCGATACGTATCAATATCGCGTATTATATGTGTGTATGTAAAAAGAAAAACAATTATACTTAATGTTCACAGTGCCACTGTTATTATTCCTATTGTAATTGGTGTGCTTATACTCGTTGGACTGATAGGATGCTGCGTTTGCTGTTTATGCTGCAAATGCTGCCCATGGTATCGTCGTCGTCACCAAGGCACTGTCTATGGCAGTAAGTTTTTTTCTTATCATATATCAATTTTATAAGTTTTATATCAATAAATTTGCCATGTACATATGTATATATATATATATCCTTAGCATAATATTTTTATTAAAGTAGTTTTTGAACAAAAACATATAAAATAAACATATTGTAAATATCATCAAGTGAGTGTGTCAGAGACAGCAGCAATATAGCTATCGTACAAATATTATGAATAAACTTCATACAATAAAAACACAAACGTGTTCTTATAATGTTTACATAAATTCTTATAAATGTTTCAAAATTTCCTATTAATGTTTAAATGAAAATTCAATGTTTAAAAAACTTAAAAATAAAATTTTAAATAATTAATGAACTTGGAATTAGCTTCAGTAACGAAATCATCGTTCTTTCTAGGATCAACCTTGGCATAATTTCGACACTCTCCAAATATCCTGCGAAGACTACTTTGTGTATTTTATGTCAGGATTTATAAGCCTTTTTACAATAGTTTATATTGTGTGCTTCCTATATGTAACCTCGCGTTGAAACATTCCTATATGTATTTTATGTAGTTTTTTTTTACTATACAAAAACAGATTCTCCTTATAAGAATATATATAATTTTTTTTTATATGGCACATACATCTTATAAGCACAGTATTATTTTTAGAAAAGTTATACTATGTGCACAAATAAAATAAAAGAATTTATTTATTTTATTTTTGATAGTGATATTTTTACATAATAATATATATATATATATAATGGTATTCTTATATAAAGAATCTGTTCTTAAATATTAATACTACGAAGAACAGTATTAATAAAAAAGAAAAATTAATTGTGATTGCTTCTTTCATAACAAGTACGCTATATATAGCGTATTCGAGATATTTGTTATGAAAAAATATATATATATTTATATATATATATGTGTATATATATATATATATATATGTGTGTATATATATATATATATGTGTGTATATATATAAAGCAATAATCGATATAAACATTCCATTTGTCCTCGTTAATTAAGTATTAGTCGTGTATACTCATTACATTAAAAAATATTAACCAAGATGTACAAGCAACATGCAGGTTATGTATCTCAGTATATAAGATATATTTATATATAAATTGTTTAATAAGATATATTTATATCTAAACATTTATATATAAGATAAATTTATATATAAGATACATTTATATATGAAACTCATAAATAATAAATATATATGCATTTTCATAAAATGTAATCAACAATTATTTAATGTAGAGGGCGATTGATAAATATAACGCACAGATAAGCGATAACATCACATTGCTACTGTTGTTGATAAGTTTCGTTCTTCGGAAGAACGAATAAATCAAGTGCCAGCTCATTATCGCAAGTAGTGGGTGTATGACGGCTCTCCAAAATTTATCTTTACATACTTTGGCAAAATTATATCTACTTTGTCACAAACAAAACTACGTACGATAACGAGTCAGCGTTCGACATTTGTACTTCTGAAAAAAAAATAAAAAATGAAACTTTGTCAATAACAGCAATGCGGAAGTATTGTCGCTATCTGTGCATCGGATATTTATCAGTCACCCTTTATATCGTATAATTTATTACCCAAAAAAACATTGCTTATTATTTTATTGAGCTTTTAATTAAAAATTATCTTATCTAGCAAAAGGTGTACATGTATTATATCTTTTAAGTTGTAAAAATTAAATTTTTTAAAATAAGTTTTATTACTTCTATCAATTAAATTGTGCTTTTTTTCGAAGAATGCTTATTTAATATAAGATTTTAACAAGTTGCTGTTATTCCTTCTTGTTTTCTTTAAGGGTGCGATCAAAATCTCACTGCAAATGTTTCGAAGCGCATCATTCTATCTGAGAAACAAAGATAGAATGATGCTTCGAAACATTTCCACAGTGAAGCTTTGACCACACCCTATGCCCTAATTATGGTTTTGTTTGATGTATTTCTTGTATGCTAATGTTGTTGCTGTCTCTGAAACAATTTTAAATAAATAAATTTCGGGTCTCCTTCATACATGAGTATCTTGTTACAGCAATCCGGACACCTATTATTCAAGTAATTGAGCAAACAAATCTCCCGCCGAGGTATCCTTGTAGTCAACCAGCTCAAAACCAATACGTTCCGTTTCCAACTCAATCAACCGGTACTTTTGTCACATGTTCTAAAAATTCAATCAGATCTTTTAATCAAAAATCGTTCAGAGAATTTTTTGTATCTCTTTTGCATTATTTAAAAAAATTAGCCTGTTGTGCGCGTTAAAGATATAAAAAAAAAAGAATAAGTATTGTTATTTAGATTGTAATTTTCCCAATGATTTTTTAGGTGTGGCTGCATCACCAATTGTAAACGAAGAGTATGCCAAACAGGCCCCATACAATCCTACTTACACAGCACAATAAGTGATCTAAATTTTAGTTTTGTGTAATAACGATAAACGTGAACTTTAGTGATAAGTTTGTTATCTTCTTCTTATCTTCGTCCGGAGGATAAGTGTCAGGATTTTTATCAGTGTATTATAATACAGCGAAGAATTATATATCACACTTCAACCTGCCATCATTTATAACAATTACGACGCGCGTATACAAGTCACATAAATGATTACAAGCTATTGTATCAAAATCTATTAATTAGAGATACTCGCGAAATCCTTTATGCGATTTCGTCTTATACACATCTGTGAAAGCGATTTTCTATCAGGCTATATAGATGGTCGCAGAAAAATTTGCAAGAAGAAATTGCGCGACGGAGTCTCCATATTTCGATCTTCCTAGAAAAAATACAATGTATCGTACTTTTATTATATACATTTACATATGTTTGTTAGTAAATATTTTTCTTCTCAACTGTTTTGTACAAATAAATTCTACATTATAACAAACGGAATAAAAATACTCTTGATGAAACGTGAATTAAAAAAAAGAGTGTGAATGTAAATATATATATATATATAATATATATATATTATTCTATCGATGCAATGTTATATAGTACTGAAGTATGTCATTGTTAAGTTTAAGGATCTAATAAAAGATTTTAAAATACTCTCGAAAAAAGGAATCTTTATCTCTACTTTTTGTAAATAAAACGCAGATCTTTTTAGATCGAGTTTTGCAAAAAAAAAAAGATGCACTCGTTTTATTTTGTTTTCGCGCATTTGAGTTTTTTTTCTTGACTAGAAAAAAAAAAAAAACATCTCATTTTTCTGGCAGATATTTTAGTCGTTTGGCGAATGTGCTGAAGAAGGACGAAAGACAATGAAGAGAAATGTGTATAAACAGAGTAGGTATTTTGTTTAATCCAGTGAAAATCGCGTTATTATTTCCAATAGTTTTGATATACAATAATAATTGATTTTTGTTTTTAATTAGGTACAGGAACACTTTGTCATTCATGATAATTAATGATCAGTACAATCAAAAGTTCATTATTATTAACCAAAAGCGTTGCTTTCAGCATTTTATAAATTTGCGACGGCGGCTAGATCGAATTTCTAACTAAACAATTTGTATATATGTATATACGTCACTTCTATTTTGTGTTTTCTAACATAAGATCACACGTAGCAAGCGAGCTTCGGCGAATCATATAAACGTCGTTAACCAATTAATAATAATAATAAAGAGAAAAAGATTTTGTCAACCACCGATTGAGGCCACCCAATAGAAAAGCAGATTTTACACAAATTTTTTTTGTTTTGTTTATTAACGCTTTCTGTGTGCATATAAATTTGTTGAATTTAATTCTTTCAGTCTGACGGATTTTTTTTTCTTCACAGTTTCAAAGGGATTGTGTGTTTATAATAGAATTTACGACGCGACAATCTGGAAAACGATATGTATATGTATTTTTTTTTTTTTTTTTTTTTAATAAATCGAAAAGTAAAGTAGATTAAATACACAGGTTTTACACTTGTCTTCGTTAGAATATACAATCGAACGTTTGAAATAGTTCATATTATCGTAAAATTTGCATTACAATTAATTCGAATAATCCAGAGAGCTAGTATAAGACAGACAGAGAGAGAGAGAGAGAGAGAGGACTGAAAGAGTTAAATAAAATTCTACCAGATGTACTAGACAAGACAAAGTATAAGGAAATACACCTCATTTAACGTATTTTGGGAATTTCACAAGAGAATTATTAAATAATAACAGATATTATTTATTTTTCTTCTACCAGGATTGGGCCCCTGTACTGCAATTTATAAATATCTCAATCTTCTTCTTTTTTTTTTTTCTTAGGCTTATATTTCGATCTTACCGCACTAAAAAGGCACATATTTTCGCACCTGATAAAACATTATTACACTCTAAAACGCTAATGATCTCTTTTCCTTTACCGGCATTTGCCATTCCGTGCCAATTGCGTATCTTGTGTGTGTTTTAACGCACGTTACTTAATTAAACATACGTGCATCAGGCTTTTAAACTCAACGAGCTTAAAAATTTCCCACAATTTTCGGATGACTACGATGCGACAATGACGGTAACAGTAATACAACAAAGAAAAAAAAAAAAAAAAAGAAAAAAAAAACCATGATTCGTTATTTTTTTGCTCTCTTCAATTTCATATTTCTTACAACTGTATCTCTCGCATGTACAAAATATATTACGTATATTGGACAAAACGCGTCTTTTATTGTTTTTTTTTTTTTTTTTTTTTTTTTTTTTTTTTTGCGTATAATAATACACGTAATATACTTCCCTTAGACGCTAATTTGTAATAATTATCCTCTCCTATAAGTCTAATGTAGAGTTTTACGCGAATCTTACTAAGGCGATCAACTACGCGGACCTTTGTACAGTCGTTTGGATCTATGGGAAGTCTTCGAAAGGAAGAAATTGTTTAGACATTTCGCAAAATGTGCTCATCGAAGTTATTTTCGGATAAAACGACGCGCGTTGTCGTTTTCCCGTCCAATGCCGCTCCGCCGTGACAAAAATGTTGATGACGGCACCAAACCAAACGAAAATCGAACGAACGAATTTTTGTTCGGCAAAGTCCGCGCACGCACCAACGGGAAGCGTAATTGTGTGTTGTCTGTCGTAAAAATCACTATATGCTAATTATGTACAATGAAACACGCAATGTTGCGCAAAAAGCTGTACACTATATAAAATTCGTTGATAAAATAATCTTACTAGAGAAAAGAGACTGAACTTTTTCTACCCTAAGTAAGAAAAGGATACGGGCGTAATTCCGGAATTATGTCACTTTCGGATTTTCAAACAGATACCAACCCCGTTAACTCCCGAAGATGTCCGGAAGTTTAAAAAAAACGTTTAAATTTCTAGACGACGAACCAGACTGCGAATTTTTATGCAATTACAACTTTTTATTATCCTGACGATCTTGTTATTAACGAAATGAGAAATGTAACATTGTATCGAATATATTACAATTTAAACAATTTATTTATATTTTACATTGTAACAATTTTTACTGAATATTAATACAATTTACAACATATACTTTTTCAGTTATTTGTTTGCGCTCAGGCTGCGGATAAATTTTATAATTCATAAAGATTTGCAGTTCTGTGGTTGTGATCGAATTAAGCGACGAGAATTTAATCGGGAGCAAGTAATTTTTGGGCGAAGAAGCGTCATAAAGTCGGAACATGCCCGTATGTGACTTCGACACAAAAAAAAAAAAAAAAAAAAAAAAAAAAATTTGGAAGCAATTAGAAGAGAGATGAGATTTTCTTTTACAGAGAGAATATTCGACAGACAGAAAAAATTTCTCACGTGAGGCCGTTGTTTTCTCTCTCTTCCTTTCAATGCGTTCTTCTGCGCAAAACGATAATAAACTGCTTGATTCGTAATATCTGTTTTTTTTTCTCCCACCGAGTAAAACTACTTTCTTAGGTAATTACGAGAAAAAAAAAGAAAAAAAAAAGAAATAAAAAGAATAGGCCGCGTGACAACAAGCGTTAATTATGTATACATGTATAAATACCGAACGTGCGCATCGGGGGGGTTTTGCCCATTAAAATGGCAAATCTCTTAAATAATATTTATTGCGGCACTTGGTCAAAACTTGCGCGTTTCTCTCGTCCCAGTTTCGTTTTATTTTTTTTTTTATTTTTTTTATTTTTTAAAATTTTTTTATTTTCAGTCTATTTACTCGAGTGCCTTAACTTGCGCCATTACTTTGCCCTCCCATAGTGGTAGAACTTCGGTATCGTCCGTTATCTCTTCCTGTATAACTCGTGTATCTAAATCCTCGCACTCCGTTTTAAAGAAGTACCTGTTACAACAACAAACAAACAAACGAACAAAGTCATGATTCGGTTTAAAATTTAAAGCAAGTAGAAAATAAAAAAACACAACATCTCGATGATGTGTTGAACGCGCGAATTTTATTTACCGATAGCTTCCTTTCTTCGGAAGGTACTCCTTGAATTGTTTCAAAGTGACGTTGCGACCAGGAATTTTAGTCCTGTAAGGAAACTGCTCGTCACAGAAATTGAACACAACGGTGGTGAAATCACCCGCATCCTGTTTCGGTTTCCTCAAGGTGGACTGATTGGACTGGACGTATGGCTGAGACTGCGTCGCGGAATCGTACGCCAGTTTAGAAACGTTGAAGTGTCGTTGCTTGCAACTGGCGCGCGCTCTCTCCTCCATCAGCCTCCTACACGTCTCTTCCAACTGTATAGACTAGATATAAATTGTAACATATATAAATATAAATTCTTATTCGAAACAAAACAAAAACAAAAAAAAAAAAAAAAAGTGAAATATTTGGATCTACCGTGTGAGGTGGCGTTAAAGGTGGCATTCCCGGATCGGCAACAAACGGTTGAGCGGGTACGCCCATATTCCACGTTTCTCTGTTTGGTCTTTCTAAAGATCCACTACGTGAACCGTATTTCTTCCCATGACGACTGCTGTGCTTCAAATCCACCTTCTTCTCCGGTTCTCTATATCGCGTCATCAAACGCATATCTTTGCTTATAGAAGGCGGAACGTCGCTGACAACGCTGACTCCGCTATCCGTCAATTCCGTCATTGATTTCTTCGTAGCTGATCGTCTCGTCATATCCGATCTTCGGAATCTCTGTTCGTGACCTACGCAAAAAATTAATTTTAATAATATTGACTGTTCAAAAAATGTTCGCCTGACTGTAACAATCTTCAAAATCGACAAAATGTTATAAATTAACCTTGAAGATACAGATCCTGTTTGTGGAGGGAGTCAGCATAATCGGATGGCACGGATTTAGATTTGGGCAAGTGCGAGCCTAGCGAACTCATGGAACCAGCTCCGGCAAGATCACCTTCTTGGAAGTCGTGAATATTACCGCTATCTACCGAAAATGTGGAGTCCACGTCTTTCTCTTTCCTCTGCTTGTAAGGTCGTGGATAATTGTGCGCGGGTCGTCTTCTCTCGGGCGAGAGCCTGGGCGATCTCGATGGCGTATGATCCGACCAGACGCGGGACACGTGCTCGTCGAGAATCGCCTGATCGCTATCTTCTTCAACGGACAATTTTTCCCTCAACGTATCGCTTAGTGTCTTGTGAGCTCCGCCTACCGTTTCTAACGGAACTTCACCGCTTGCCAGATTCTCTTGCAAATATTTGTCCAGTTTCTCCTGAGTTCTCTGTTCTCGCGCGAGGGCTTCCAATTTATGGGTGAGCATCTCCGCGAACTGCTTAGCCGGGAGTTGTTGCGGTGACGCCATACGCTGAGTTCGCGGAACAACGTGGTGCGACATGAGCTCGCGATTCAAATTCGCTGATTCCTTAATTGCCCTACCGGATTGCTTCGCGTATTGCTTTTTGCTTTTCGATTTGTTGCTCGTCCCATCGCTGCTGCGGACGGTAACAAAATTACTGTTAAAAATAATCGACTAAACTCTAAAAAAAAACCAAAATTATAACAAAATTCGAACAACGAATGGTTAAAAATAAGAATTTAAAAAGTTACATTTTTTTTTGGGGGGGGGGATGCGAAGTAAACAAAGAACGCTTGTGTAAAATTGTGGAAAACAAAAAAAAAGAGAAAACTTACATGGATCCGTCGTTAACGGACAAATTGTCCACCTCGGTACGTGCATCACTGCTCAAACTCTGAAGCTCAGAATCCTGTCTGGATACTGGGTTGTAGGAGGAATATTGTGCGTGCAATCTGGATACGTGCATGTGATATGGACTAGCCCCGTGTTGCAAGTAAATGCTACAAATGCCACGCAAAACGGCAAAACAAAAACAACTAAATAAAAAACGGCAAATAAAAAAACGAGAGGGTTAATCTCGCAAATAGAAAACAAAAAACATAATTGTGAAACAAAAACTATTGGAATATTAGGGAATATAAAATGAAGAGTTGTATTTTCTGGAAATATATCGATAGTATTGCGGGATAATCTGATGTGATTAAATGTGTGAACTCAACAAATAATATATAATTTTGGATTATGCAAATTTCGTCATCACATCAAGCCTTTAAGAGGAGAAAGACGGTGTTATTTTAGAGGCGCTCATTCCAGGACTGAATCCGAAGCATTCTATTACGAGTGACAAATGATATTTTGTTGAGATGCAACAACAGAGCTTTATAAAAGAAAATGCGATTTACCCAGCGAACGCCTCTGGCCTCGGCCGAAGATCCATCGCTCTGCTCTGTTGAGTAGCCATCAGAACATCTTTGGTCAGTCTCAATTCTCCGGGTGTGCTGCCAACCGAATACGAATTGTGTATTGTACCGATGTACTCGCTATCCTCGTGCACGGTAGGCAGCAAACTCGGTCCGCAGGAGATGGACATCTCACGGCTGCCTGAGCCTGAACTCGGACAACCGCCAGAATCGGGATTCTGGCAAGACTGAACATACTGAAGGTACAGATCGGACTGAAGAAAGTTGGGATATGTTGTCTCCTTGATGAGCCGCTCGACTTCCAACTGCACGATGTCAAACACTTTCTGATCGGTGCGACCTTCTTTTACCCGCCGATCCGCTTCCTTCATCACTTCCTCTGGTATGCTTAAGTGCGACCTGAGAAAAAACCTTCGATGGATGAGCCTCACTAGCTGCGAGATCTTCTCCGTGTCTTTCTGCTCCTTGAGGCCCTCGCAGGCGAACCAGAAATTTAGCGGGTCTACATGTCCTTCTTGGTCGAGATACTTTTTGAATAGCTCCAATCCTACCGGATCCTCTAGCAGGGAGTGCAGATTTCTCGCCCACCGCGCGTAAGCAGGCGGTGAATCGCTCTCCATGGTAGTGGTTCCGCAACAACCCTCCGGTTCGAATCCCAATGGCGCGGAAACATCGTAACCATCAGTGGCTTGCGGTGTTGCAAAAGAAGATCGTCTAGGTGTCAGAGCGGGGCTCTGTGGACGGATCCGACTGACGTAGCTTCCTGTTTCCTCTCCTGAAGGAAGCAAATACCGATGTACAATATGTTTAGGAAATATCCTAAACGTAATATACCCATCTGTAGAATAACATCAAGTATACAAATAAATTAACTCTTTTTAAGAAACCAAACACATAAATTAAACTTCTACTTAAACATGTAATTTACCTTTTTTTCAATTAAAAAGATGTATAAATATAAAAAATACTAAAACACTATATCACAGCTGTGAAAGTAAAAGAGACAGAAATTAGTGCAATCTATCTTTTTTTTTTTTTTTCTCATATGCTTTAGAGCACATGGTTACCCTCCTATTTGATTCAAGCTTGCTTCCTATTTACCTGGCACCGGTGGCCTGGGAGAGTTCTCATTGAAGCAACGTGTTTCGTTTTGCCGAGATGCGCTCATTCTATCTATTATGGCCTTCATGTGCTATTTTGTTATCTATACTTAATTTTCGCCCACGGTGCTTCTTAGTGGACATGGTTAGCCCCAGCCTGGAACAGCAAAGAAACAAATTTTGTTAAATCTAAATCTGTTTGTTATAACATTTTTTATATTTTTTTTATATGACAAAATATACAAATTTCTCCAAAATTCAGCTGTCAGGAATACATTTGAGCTCAACACAATATATGTAATATCTATTCACTTTGTCCAAACTAATTTTCAGCTGTCAAAAAATACAATTGAACATAATATATGTAATATCTATTCATTTCTAATTAATCTTCATAATTAGAAATTGCTTAGCTATTACTTTCATCAAGAATATGGGTCTGCATCAAGAATACTTAGCATTATTGATTTCATGTGGTTATATTTCTGCGAAAGAACAGAAAGAGAGAGAGAAAGAGAGCTGGGATTTGCTAACAAAGAAAGAAATGCTGGGATGCTGGATCGATGGAGCTCTGTGGTGAGTCATATCTCTCAATTAAACAGCTAAGGGAGGTTTTTTTTCGTTGTAAGGAACTATAAGGGTGGAGCATAGCTGAAAAACTATAGACCATCTCTTGGCTGCGCAGAAGGATGCACTTCTGCGTGTACATGTATATATGCACAACCCCTATTGGTCTGTTGCGCAGACCATTTGTGTGGTATTGATCCACAAAACCTATAACGCAATCCATCGAACACTCCTGCCAACTCCAAACACATCTGAATTTATACATTGCGAGTTTGATATCTTCTATTAACTGAAATTCAGCCCTAATATAGCAGAAAAATATTAATAGGTTTATGAAGTAAGGCAATCTGAGGAAGAAAGGGCCATTGTATTGCCCAGGGTCTGGCCCCTTTGTTATGGCAGGGTATAGAAATATGGTTCATATGTACCATGCTACAGCCTAAGTGGCAAATGTGCAACTATCCGCTCGAGCAAGAGATATTGCCTCTTGTATGCACAACAAAATACCATCTTCATTTCTATTAAATTAATATAATACATGTTGAATAAGAAATAATGTACTGAAATATTGAAATATATGTCCACGTACATACATAATTTTCAATTTACAAAAGAATATCCCTTACATATATTCGCACAAAATACACATTGATAGATTTGTATTATTAATTCATGAGACAATTATAAAGACAGTTCTGACATTACCCCACTACTATATATATATGAAACCATTAAGAGTGGAGGCATAGTTCTCTAATAAGTGTGGAAACTTGATCCTGACCCATATATAGGGGAGGAAATATGAAATGAGAAGCTGTCATAATGGATCATCTCGCCCCACTGCACATTTACCTGTAGAATCAAAAGAGAAGAATCAGAGTACATACCATTTTGGCGGAGAAACCAACACACACAGGTAGCTTTCTGGTTTATTAAATTTATAAGGATCTATTATAATTTTTTGACACAGAAATAGGATGATCTTGTACGATATATATATGTACACACACACACATATGCCACCAAAATATTTCTTTGTTAGATTACAAAGATTGAGAGACTGCCGATGCCTACGATAGCACTGTTGGAGGCACACTGAACCAAGACTGCGTCCTGACCAGGACTGCAGCCACATTCATACACAGACACTGCGCAGTGTGCGCAGTATCCTTGCGTATAAAAACTTTGACTTTTTCTGCGGAACACAAAAAACTTCTTTAAATTTTCCTAAAGATAAGACTGTTTCTCTTGTATCTCAGACAAGTTCATTCTTCATATCAAACAGGAAAGTTCTCACTTCTTAGTACTGTTTTCAATATAGAAAATTGTGATTGTAAACATTCTTCATTATAAAATTATTAAACATCACATTATCTTACTTCAACTCTTACTGATTACACAACCAAAGATCATTGCACACTCAGTTTACCGCAAACAGATCCTTTTGTGCTAAATAAACAAATGAAACTTTCACATAACTACTAATACATTAACAACATTATATAAAAACATATATATTTGTACAAAAACTAAATAGAAACAAATATTTGAGAATTTCTCGAGACACAATGACACAAACCATTCTTGATACTCTTTTCTCTTTCTCTCAAAAAAAAAAGAAAAAGGTAATAAGTGACAAACTCGATCTGTTTGTAATCGTACCTCTTACGATCGAGTAGGAAAGACGGATCGGCCAACCGCGATATCCCCCGATGAAAGGGGAAAAAATTGTTTGTCAGCAGAGACGACCACGGGGCATTAACTTAAGAAGCTTTCCCGCCCATACCGATTCTCTCGCGGGCGTCTCCTCATTGTCTGAGGATCTCCTCGAGCTCATTCTCGGACCGATGGATCTCTCGATTTGGCGTCTCCTCTTTGCAAAGGCGAAACACGTTTCGCGTCGTTTTCGGGATACGTTCCAGATCGTCACTTCGTTACCGCTTGTCGTTTCTAACATTCCAAAACGCATTTTTTTTTTTTTTTTTTGTATTATTATGCCCGCCGCCAGAACGAACGAAAGATCAAACCTGTATGTAAAAAAAAAAAAAAAAACCGTCGATATCGTATCGATCGTAGAAATTTTTCAGATTCCAACACGCGACACACGGATAATAATTCGTTCTCTCGAAATGTCCGTGTCCTTTGTCAGGTCGGTGTCGCCACCTATAGCGATGACAATATTTCCGAAGTTAAACGGGAATTCTATCTTGCCGATCGTTTCGAGCTGGGGGGGAGGGAAAGAAGGGGGGAAAGCGCGCGCGCGCGAGAGAGAAATAAAAACGAAAGATTCACCGGAAGAAACTCCACGCCAAAAACTAAAAAAAAAAAAAAATATATACAATTGTTGCGTGCATATCGCTTGATAAATTGCAATTTTCAGCTCTTATTTTTTCCTGACTTAAAAAAAAAGTCAAGTTTTGTAAAACGCAGCGCGTGCACAAAATTTGTATACGGCACACGACTTGTATTATTTTAAATTCAAATTTATTTTAATTATATAATTAAAAAAAAAAAAAAAAGTATCTTCGTGAATATATAAAATAAGAGTTTGTTTATAAAATCATCAAATTTCAAGTAGAAGTGTGTGCGTCTCGAAATTGCAATTAAATATCTTCAAGAACGATCGACGTCAGTCAGCGGGACGCGATTCCCATCTTCGTCAGGAAAAAAAAAAAAAGAAAAAAAAATTAATACTCGCGCGCATTTTCAACTCATTATTTATTACGTGGGAGCAAAGAGAGTACGCAAATCGAGAACGATTAGAATTAAGATTTAACGAAGCTGCGTTGCGTCTCTCTTCTCCGGAAGAAGAGAGAGAGAGAGTGAGAGAAGATAGACGCGACTTTCCGCGAGCTCCGCAATCCGTCGTCCCAGCACACAGTTTGTTGCGCCGCGTGTGTTCACTTTCGACTTTTTTAATTATATGTTAGCGACGACGGGCGCGCCGTCGAATAATTACAACGACGAACGTCATTAAGCAAGTATAAAATGAGAGAGGGGGAGAAGAAGAAGAAGAGGGGAAAAAGGACCGTAAGAGAGGTGTGCAACAAGCACACAAGGTGCAAATTAAAATTATTATATTCGCACCGCGCCCGGGGTGTGGTGGTGGTTACAGACTTTTGCCTCGAGTGGGACGTTCGCTAACGAATTACCAACTGTTTATCTTCGTATTTCGCCGACCTCATCCCGTTTTTATATCATTAATGACCTTAACCCTCGCGCGTATCCGCGGGAGGGAGGTGGTGGTTGTTGAAAATGTATTAACTTTTTCCGACTTGGCAAATCCAATCAACTCGCTCGCGCGCGCGCGGTTTTTCTCCAACACGTCCTCCTCCTCCTCCTCCTCCTCCGTCGCGCGTTCGCGAGTATCTCTTTTTTCAAGTTGTTGAAAGAAATTTATGTGAAGCGATTTATAATAAAATTTGCGCAATAATTCTCATAAATATTTGATAATAGTAGGAAAATTCCCAGTCCGAGGAAATAAAAAAAACCAGGTCTTCGGTTCGAATAACTTCTTTATTTATATTTGATAGACGATTTCGACCCGTAATTAGGGTCTTCTTCAAGTATTCTCTATATTTGTTTTTAATCAAATATTAAATAGTCTAATAATGGCGTGTAACAAAACCCGATTAGACGGGTCGAAACGTCTATCAAAATAAAGAAATTCACGCTGGGGTGGAAGATGGCGTCACATTATCGGATCAATATTCGATATAGATGCGCTAAATATTGCGAGACAAACTCCAAGTGCCTCGGTGGCCTTAACAGAAAAGGCGACGGCCCGGAAAACCGGAGATTCCAGATTCGACTCCTGACTGAGCAGTTTTTTTCCGCAATATTTTAAAATTAGTTAGGAAGGGTATACGGGATCCTTCGTATATACGTGATGCAAATCCAGCATCCTATATGGAGGAAAAAAAAATTATTTCGACGTATATATGTGTATATATGTGTATATATATATATATATTTAAGCACATTCTCTGCATAACATCCTGCAAAACGGCTCTTATACAATCCAATTTATTTCATTCACTAGTTTAAGACTACAGAGCCCGAAGAATCTTCTTGTTAATTATTAATTTATAAATAAAGAAGTTATTCGAATCGTAGACCTGATTTTATTTCCTCAAACTGCCATTTTTCTCTACTATTATTATATAATTTCAAGAGGAAGCGTATATACAGCGTAAATATTTTGTTTTATTGCGATACAGTTTGTTATAATTTTAATATTATATATTTATTAAAATATTATATATTTACACCAAGAAAATTTTACTTATTAAACTGCCACCATCTGCGGTCCAGAGGCTGTAAGGTCCAACTTTATTTAATTTTTATGATGTTTCTGCCGTTTTTCTAATTATATTTATTATGTTTATATATATTATACTTTTAATATCGTATGTTGTATTCTCTAAAATTTGAAGCACTCGCTTTTTTTTGCTGGTTGCAAATGCTGCGGCGACAGTAAAACCGCGTTTTGTGCGTGTGCATGTGTGTGTGTCCAGCGTGAAATCGCGTTCGCTTCGCGTGAACGACATCATTGTCGGACTGCCCGATCTTGATCTGACGAAATATCGC